GGGGGGGGGGGGGGGGGGGGGGGTATGACCAAGGGAAGGGATGATATCAGTGTGCCACGGAGGAGGGATGCCACTAGGAATCAATGTATGGCCTCTGGGATGGGAGGGAGGGTGAAGTATGACCAAGGGGAGGGATGACATGAGTGCACCCAGGAAGAATATCAGTCATTCTATGTTTAGGTGAGAAGAGTACGACCCAGTCCTGATTGAATCAATCTTTTCTTTCCACAGTTAACGTCAGGACCATCGTGCTAATATCTGCCTTCAGCGTGATTGGTGGACTTGGAATTCTGTTCGTGATAGGCTGGATCATTAAGTGTTGCTGCTGTTCAAGTGGTGGTTATGATGATGGTTTTAGTGATGGGGCTGGAATGACTATGATGGAAACAAACAAGACTAGTGGCGATTAACTATCAGTGATACTCATTAGCACACTTCCAATTTTACTAGCCACACAAACTGGCTGTTTTTATTTTTTTCAATGGGGATTCAGAAGTTCTGTCATCTTAGTTACCATCAAAACCATCATCTACATGTCTCGTAACAATGGTTGCCATAGAAATGGCAGTCGTGATTGGCTATTTATTAATCATTTCTGTTACTGAAGATAATTCAATGTAGCGTGCTTTGCTTTGCTTTGCTTTCTGTCCAGCACCCGACAACATTCCATTGGTATTGACTTAATTCATGACTGAAGGAGACCGTTACCGTGACGGGACTGTGACCGTGTCAGGATTTGACAGTTACTGTGATGGGACTGTGACCGTGACAGGATTGGACAGTTACTGTGATGGGACTGTGACCGTGACAGGGTTGGACCGTTACTGTGACGGGACTGTGACCGTGACAAGAATGGACAGTTACTGTGACAGGACTGTGACCGTGTCAGGAATGGACCGTTACCGTGACGGGACTGTGACCGTGTCGGGATTGGACCGTTACTGTGACCGTGTCTGGAATGGACCGTTACTGTGACGGGACTGTGACCTTGATAGGATTGGACCATTATTGTGACGGGACTGCGACTGCGACTGCGACTGCGACTGCGACTGCGACTGCGACTGCGACTGCGACTGCTTGCTATTTTAACGACTTTGCAAGGAGGTAATGCATCTTGGAGATATCAAGGTTTATTATATAATTACCAATGAAATATCTATTTTTCTCTATTTCGAAAAATTGATATCTTCACACGAGAAAATAACATGTTATTTTCACGTGTGAAAATAACACCATTGCGATGGCTATTCAAAAATACACGGAAAGAATTGCCTGAAAAAGCCAACACATACTTCATTGATAATTATATAATGAACAGAATATTACATGGCCGCTTGGAGATACGAAATTTATCTTCTCGTGTTGAAAATATCTCACTCGTTCGCTGCGCTCACTCGTGAGAGATCTTTTCAACACTCGAAGATAAATTTCGTATCTCCGCGCGCCCATGTAATATCCTCTATTTATTACATAATTACCAATGAAATATCTATTTTTCTCTATTTCGAAAAATTGATATCTTCACACGTGAAAATAACATGTTATTTTCACGTGTGAAAATAACACCATTGCGATAGCTATTCAAAAATACACGGAAAGAATTGTCTGAAAAAGCCAAAACATACTTTCATTGATAATTATATAAWAAACAGAATATTACATGGGCGCTTGGAGATACGAAATTTATCTTCTCGTGTTGAAAATCTCTCACTCGTTCGCTGCGCTCACTTGTGAGAGATCTTTTCAACACTCGAAGATAAATTTCGTATCTCCGCGCGCCCATGTAATATCCTCTATATATAATCATCCTTTTTTTTCATCTTTGAAAATAAAATTCAAATGGAGTTGAAATGTCTGAGCTTGTTCTGTTGTTTTGTATAATATGTACTTATTTCAATAAAGTTAGTCACCAAAAACCTAGAAAACTGTGATCGCTGAGAATCATGTGGAAATGTTTTACGTCCAACAAGTAAAGCTTTTGACACATACTGCAGCAGTTGAGGATGCTCAGAGGAGGTTAACTTGTAACTAGTAGAAGATCTCAAGTCTATCAACAGTTATCAAGTGGTTGAAACATCTAAAATGTATCTACCCATAACCCTTGACGGTCTCAGCTTTGTAGCTTTTCAGGTGACTAACTTTATTGAAATAAGTGTATGCGCTTACAGTGACGACACCAAATCCTGTACTCTATTTTATGACCTTCAATTGGACTTACTTAGCAAAGTGTCATGGGCAGCGTTTYTTTAGATAAATATTACCACATGCGCTTAAAACAACCAACGAAGTGCTAAAAAAATGTACGATCTTTTTATAGACTTTCATTGATGCGCATTCAAAGTCACAAAAAGATTGTACATTTTTTAGACACTTCGTTGTTCGTTAATTTTAGAAGCGCATGTCGACGTCTATAAAAAGATTGTATATGCGTATGCGTAGAGAAAGATTTACACTTAAAATGTTTGCGCATGCTCATAACCCTGTAGAAAAGATCCCACATAGCTCAACTTATCGACTTTTATGACCTCGACTTCCAAATAAGTCGCAGTAAAAAATTTGAAGAATGATATCAGGTATGAAAGGAAATAGTCGGGATTCCAAAAAGAATTCCATTTTTTCTTTTGTCAAAGCTGGTTTCAATTTTTCTGCTCAAATTTTTTTATAGGAATGGGGCGTTCTATATGATTTCATTGCGTTGATTGCAATGATGAAATATGCTCTTATTTGACGAGCATTTGCACGTGACAATTTTATGATGTGAAATTTTATCAAAAAAAAAAAACAACAACAACAACAACAAAAAAAAACAAAAACAAAAAGTCAGAAGCGAGAAGTATAATTTTAAATGAAGGCTTACTTTCGTAAGATCTCGATGTTGAAAATAAACCAAATAAACCAAGTGTCAAATATTATTACTACCAACGTGGGAGCGACACAGAAAGGTTTTTCAACGGTTCTAAGAAATCTGCAAGTTCTTTTAAGAACAATATTGAAGAAGCTGGAAGATTATAACACAAATATGGGCCTTCTGTTGCGCAAAATATTGATTCGCGACCCTCTCCAGGAATTTTCCAACCCTTTTCCTCTTTCCCCACGCAAAAAAGAGTTGATATTGGAAATGCTCGCTGACAAAAAGCACAAAACAAAATATTCCGCATCCCACATTGAAAAGCCTGTAATAGGTTTTGTTATATCCTGCGCTTTAATTCCCATGGGAAATAAGGTGTATTTGATTTTTTTTCTGTGTAATACCTACCGTTTACAGTTTGTACTCGAGCGCGCAAGAAGCGTATCTTGTACAAATACAAGTACATCTTGTACATCCCACATGGATAGATAGCCTGGTATTATGTAGGTAGTTGCATTGTTCCGATTCGGGGAGGTTGGATGGGGATGAGGACGATCCTATGTGGGTTTTCCACTTCACTTTTCAAAGGATTCAATTTTGAGATCCTTCCTTGCTGGATATCCACATTTACCAAGGATCTGATGGAGATGTTGGCTCGATGCACGGCGTATCTACATGGGTCTATCCATGATCTCTCCCTCTACAGAGAGTACGGTAAAGGAAAAAATATAGATGCTTGAAAGGAGACAAATGTTGGAAAAGAGTAGTTTTGTACAAAAATTGTACATCCCATATGGGCAGTTGTGACTAAAAGATAGAGAAGAGAGGCATTTGCATGCGGAGGAGGAGGGGTTAGATGGAGGACAAAATTATGAAACGAAACTTTGACTTCTAAAAATAGACCTTCTATGAAAAACACTTAGTATATATCCAAGATTCTTAATTAGTCTCTTAAAGGGTCGGATCAAAGGTACCCCCTTTGAAGAATGAACAATAAAAAATGTTTTGTTAAAATAAAAATATAAAAAATGAAAATATAAAAAAAAAAAAAAATGATAATGTTAGGGTAACCCTAGTTAACTCAAAAATTGTGTTAGGGTTAGGGTTAGTGTTTTGAGCGTTAGGGTTAGGGTTAGGGTTAGCGTAAAGATCGTTAGGGTTAGGGTTAATGTTAACCCTAACCCTAACACTCAAAACACTAACCCTAACCCTAACACCCAAAACACTAACCCTAACCCTAACAATTTTTGAGTTATTGATTTTTAATATTTATTTTCTCATTTTTATTTTCAATTCTTTATTTATTTATTTTTTTTTTACACCAAAACATTTTTTATTTTTTATTCTTTCAAAGGGGGTACATTTGATCCGACCCTTTAAGAGACTAATTAAGAATCTTGGATATATACTAAGTGTTTTTCATAGAAGGTCTATTTTTAGAAGTCAAAGTTTCGTTTCATAATTTCGTCCTCCATCTACCTCCTCCTCCTCCCCATGCAAATGCCTCTCTTCTCTATCTTTTAGTCACAACTGCCCATATGGGATGTACAATTTTTGTACAAAACTACTCTTTTCCAACATTTGTCTCCTTTCAAGTATTTATATTTTGCCCTTTGTCGCACTCTCTGTAGAGGGAGACATCATGGAAGACCCATGTAGAGACGCCGTGCATCGAGCCAACATCTCCATCAGATCCTTGGTAAATGTGGATATCCAGCAAGGAAGGATCTCAAAATTGAATCCTTTGAAAAGTGAAGTGGAAAACCCACATAGGATCGTCCTCATCCCCATCCAACCTCCCCGAATMGGAACAATGCAACTACCTACATAATRCCAGGCTATCTATCCATGTGGGATGTACCATCTTTATATGTAATATCTTTTTTGCGCGAGCCAACACAAATAATTGCGAACGTAGAAAAYATAAAAAATTCAAATCCCTTGGGAATTAGGACGCATTGCATAAAGGCATTTATTACGGGCTTTTCCGTGTGGGATGCATGATATTTTATATTGGGTCACGTGTAGCTACATGATGTTAGCCGACCTTGATTTTCTTTGAGTGTACACTGCTGTTATTATTGCAATAGCGTTGTTTTAGGATTCTCTCTTGTTACATTTATTCTGCATTTATTTTAAGACTCTTTCTTGCTTTATTGAAAATCCCGCAGAATGTATTTTAAAGCTCCACGATTTTAACGTCCGTAATAAAGTCGCACATTAATTTCCATTATTTTGCTTCTTGAGAGCATTTTTAATATTGAGTGGATTTTTCAGCTCGTTAATTCAATCCGAGTTTTATTTTAAAGCTCAATGAATTTAATATTTGTAATAAATGCGCATCTCAATTTCCATTAGAGTGCTCACACTAAATCCGTGAAACAAATACTAATTTTTAGCACTAAATAGTGATAATTAAACATTAGAAAACAAAAGATTCTGTATGAAATAGTACTATTTAATGTTCACGGTTTTAGTGCTTGCACTCTACTTTGTCAACTTGGGAGAATTTTCACGAAAAATCGTCGAATCACTGTGTCAACAAATGCATTAGCATTTTATAGTTAGATTATTCAGATTATAATAACTTGAACCGTAACTGAATATCAAAAGATTTTAATCTTTTTTAATCTTATTTAAAAATAAGAAATTTCTTGATAGCTGTATTTTACTCTACTCAACATTCTATCACTTCTGGGATCCTCTGATTTATCATTGCGCATGCGTTAATGTTTTGAGCAACAAAACATAATACGTCATAGACGACTGTCGAGTGCGACKGTCATTAACACTTCAGTTGAGGTTTTCTTCATCTGTAATTATAGATTTACGTCATTTATTATTCAAATTTATAAAAGAGTTAGATATATATTCAATTGCAACGAAACGCTTAGTTTTTTCCCCCCGTGTTGGGTTTTTTACCTTTTTAAAAATATTTTGCTTGGAATAAATAAATAAATAGATAATTAGACATCTAGCGTAAATCCGATTCATTAACATTGATATATGAATATGAATTGTAGCTAAAACTTACGCTCCCTAAATCAACGATTTCTTCTTTTTATTCGCAGAAAAAAAAACATTTTTGTTGCTTTACAAATGCACTGCCATTTTATCAACTTTCAAGACAATTGTTGTCCTTTATTACGAGGGCTCTTGTGGAAGGCAGCGCGTTTTCTACATCAATCATTGCGAGAAGTATCCTAACCAATCATAGCTCTA